GGCTCGCCCCTGGCCTGAGGGTGATGGGGGGGTCCGACCTGAGCAGAGACCGGTCCGACCGCTGTTGGAGCCGGGGAAGTTACAGGAGTTGAAGCCCCTCACTTGCTGCCAAAACCCTTGCACATAAACCCAGCACAATGGGAAACTCTCTGTGTAATAGATAAACTGACTACAAAAGATGACAGCAGATGCTGGTTTCCCTTCCAGAAGCTACAAATAAGTAGGTACAATTCAGAGCACTTCAGACAGAAGCCCAGCGACTATTTACTGCAGTTGTGCTGAATGGCAGTCTAGAAATTTCTCTCCCCGTGGCTGTTAACAGCTGTAAGTTAAAAGTGTACTAATTAGGGTATAATTAACATTAACTCACCTCCAGCCTATTTAAAACCAAACCAGAGCAACTAACAAGAGTATGTAAGTATTCCTTTTAACATTGTAATGGTGTAGCCAGGCACAAAATATAAACATTTTACATAAGCACGTGAGCAATCTGATCACCAAAAAGGCAAAGACTTACAGGTGTAGTTGCACATAGGAGTCATCCCACTAGAAAAAAATTGCTAAACAAAAGGCAAATAAGCACAACAGACTGCAAACAGGCCACACATCCCCCTGAATACACAAGGATGACTGGCGCGACAAAAAAGAACAAGGTAAGTAGGACCGGGAAAACAGGAGACCTCCTTTTCTGGGAGTAGGAAAAATAGCTTAAAATCATCAGCCAGAAGGAAGGTAAGACAGAGAAAAAGAAGACAAGCTTGTTGTGGTTTGACTTCTCTTACCAAAGAGCTCCTAGGGCTGCCCATGTTAACCACAGTGACTAGGAGCTAGCAAGGACTGCAGCCACCAGCTGCAGGGTATTATGTACATTCACAGCTAAAGTAGCATATGAGTGCTCAAGAATAACAGCTTTATACATGTTGAATTATATAGGATTCAACCAGCAGAACAAACTCTGTTGTTAGCCAATTTTGTAAAGTTCTGTTTTACAATTTAAACTGGCCTGATTTGTCGGTGTTCTAAACACTCCTATCACAATGATATCTAATCCTGTAAATTGTAAATATACGCCTATTTTCAGTCCTAACACTGTATTCAAAAGACAATCTAAAAACTTAAATTAGGTATTTGTAGGTATGTAGGATTTCTTTTAAAGTATATTACTATAATGTCGTTTTTACATACTTGTATGTATCTCCTAAACTGTGTGTTGAAAAGAAAATACAGACATACATTAAAAAATACTACTACTCACTGTTATAAGTGATGTTAAATCCACGTCCTGACATTGAATGGTCAGCTTGAAATTCCAGACGCAAAATATGACTGTTACTAGTAAGATGGGAAGGAACTTCAGCACCAGTAAATGTTCCTATTATAGGGGAATCTGGAGAGTCACCGTCTTTAACTGCAAGGAAGTCAAACTGAGATTCCAAGTCAAAGTCATTAAAAGAGAGATGGATTCGACTCCCAGGATCTGAAATTATTGTCCAGATACAGTTTAAGTTATTCCCATATCCCTCTGGATAATCAGGTGAAAGAACTGTTCCCATTGGTGCAGTGAAATTGGAAAGGCAAGGAACTGTCAAAAAAGAGAGAAAGAAAATAGATATGAGAATAAAACATTTCAATAAGGATTTATTACTAAATTTTTGTAAGAGAGCCTTAAACTTGCTGATTATCTCAACTGAATAATTCAGTATTTGTTGTGATCTCTGAAGCGAGAAAGAAGGTTCTTTTTTTTTCATCTTCTTACTCCTCTCCCTCAATCTCTCAAACAGCGCCCCCAGGTAATAAATAAAGAACATTCTTGTTGCATTGGAAGCCCACAGCCTCCTTACAATTTGCCCGTGTTCAACAATCCTTAATCACTTGGCACCACTTATTTTCTCCTTTAGGGAGCTGTTTAGATGAGCAAACCTCTCACTGAGCACATTAAAGAGGCAGAAAGTCAATAGCGCCCTTATCATTTGTTGTTCACACAGAAGCACAAGAAATTAACTAGCTTCAAAGAAACAACAGAGCTGTTTTGTTGTTATCAGGATAATATTTTATATTTAATCATTTCAGTTAAGCTGTTTTAAATTGAGTTACAAGGATGAAGGCAACTGATTGTACTCTGAATATATTTGATCTGTTCTATTTTAGTGGAAATGTTAAGAAAGGTGTTGCCACAAGTACATATCACACCATTGATTTTATTTATGCTGTATAATGCAACTGGAAGGGAGCTATAAATGTGTATGATCATTTAAATGCTGGAAGATATTAATATATAATACATGGGGAAAAAATGTAAATAATTTAAATCCTTGATTACAATTCAGCAACTTCTAATCTGAGCAAATATATGAACTTATAAGAGTAGCTATAAAATTGTATCATACACATAAAATCTACATAGTCCTACAAAAAGCCAATATTAAACATTATACCACATCATATAAAGGCAACTGCTTTAATAGTTGCTAGTAAAAAAAAAATATTTTAGCAGTTCTAGAACTCGTCTTTGGCATAATCATTAGGCAAATCCACCACTGAACAAAAGTAAATTAATCTGTCAGCAGAATTAATTGCATTATGCTCACTCTGCAATCAGTCACACAAATTATTACGTTTAAGGAAAAACTTATCATAATGTTATGTATTAAAAATAATAATAATAAAAGTTGATACATACAAATGCAGATTGGTATGTTTGCAGACCACTGGTTGTTTTCTTGGCAAATGATAGATTTCTCTCCAATTAATTCAAATCCAAACTGACACTCAAACCTTAATACATCACGGTTCGAAAATCCATCCCCTTCTCTGATACCATACAGTGGTGTTCCAGGATCCCCACAGCTTTCTTTTTCAATTTCTGTTAAAATAAGTAAGAAATTTATTTCTAGAAGAATAAAATGAACTTCCTGTAGGTATATGCTCACATCTAGAAAATACCTATACATTATTGTAAGCAAATGAAAATCATCTGTGTAACAACAGTTGCTGAAATGCACCACTGAGTCTGACTCTATATTCTTATAAGATTCTTAAGCAGGAAATTCTGTGAAAAGATCTTAGAAAAATCAAAGCTCTTTGTGTTAATAGAAATTACTTGAAAGTACTTGAAATTAAAAGGATATGAGGAAAATTATTCCTACTCAATTTTATTTAGTAAAAGTTCAGGCAATAATAATATTGAGTAAAATATCACTTGTAGCATGTGAGCGCTTAAACCTAGCAACAAAGACCAGCATCCCACGGTGTAAAAAAAATATTTATATATGTTTATATTTACATACATGTTTATATATACCAGCTTAAATTGATGAGCCAATGACATGGAAAAAAAAAAAAAAAAGGAATAATGATAACAAAAAGTGTTGCCCAAAATCAAAAGGAAGCCATATATAAATACATAAATATTTATATATGTTTATATTTACATACATGTTTATATATACACACAGAATGTACACACATGCAAAAATAATGTCTATACACAAATAACATTTTACCTCAGTCGACTTAACTTCAAGGTATCTGAATAATTCTGTCCTCTTTCTAGAATTGCTACAGCTATGATAGTCTCTGCAATTACATACTATCCTGAACTTTCACTGGTAGTTACAAGAATGGAGAGATCTTCTAAAAAGCATTTCTGACCTATATGCATTTCACAAGCTCATAAGGCAATTCAAGCTGGAATCATAAAATGTTTTGGTTTGGAAGAGACCTTAAAGATCACCTAGTTCCAACACCCCTGCCATGGGCCGGGACACCTTCTACTACCACCTTCCAGATCAGATTGCTCAAAGCCTCATCCAGCCTGGCCTTGAACACTTCCAGAATTGGGGCATTCACAACTTCTCCGGGCAACCAGTTCCTGTGCTTCACCACCTCAGAGTGAAATTTTCTTCCTTAGATCTAATTGAAATCTCCCCTCTTTCAGTTTAAAGCCATTGCCCCTTGTCCTATCACTACACGCCCTTGTAAAAAATCCCTCTCCAGCTTTCCTGTAGGCCCCCTTTAAGTACTGGAAGGCTGCTAGAAGGTCTTCCCAGAGCCGCCTTTTCTCCAAGCTGAACAACCCCAACTCTCACAGACTCTCTTCATAGGAGAGGTGCTCTAGCCCTCAGATCATATTTGTGGCCTTCCTCTAGACTCATTCCAACAGATCTATGTCCTTCTTATGTTGAGAACCACAGAGCTGAACACAGTACTCCAGGTGGGGTCTCATGAGGGCAGAGGGGGAGAATCACCTCCCTTGACCTGCTGGCCACACTTCTTTTGATGCAGCCCAGGATGCATTTGGCTTTCTGGACTGTGAGCACACATTGCTGGCTCATGTGCATCTTCTCAACAACCAACATCCCCAAGTCCTTCTTCTCAGGGCTGCTCTCAATACAATTGAACACAGTACTCCAGGTGGTGTCTCATGAGGGCAGAGGGGGAGAATCACCTCCCTTGACCTGCTGGCCACACTTCTTTTGATGCAGCCCAGGATGCATTTGGCTTTCTGGACTGTGAGCACACATTGCTGGCTCATGTGCATCTTCTCAACAACCAACATCCCCAAGTCCTTCTTCTCAGGGCTGCTCTCAATACAATTTTTGCCCAGCCTGTACCCATTTTTAGGATTCCCCCGACCAATGTGCAGGACCTTGCAACTGACCTTGTTGAACCTCATGAGGTTCACATGGGCCCACCTCTCAAGCCTGTCAAGGTCCTTCTGAATGGCATCCCTTCTCTCTAGAGTATCAACCACACCACTCAGCTTGGAGTTCCTTCAGGGCCCACAGATGCGTCTCATCAGGTTACATAGACCTACAGGTCTATGTAACAGGTTATGTATCCGTGTATCCATGTTATCTATGTATCCGTGTTACAGGTTACACGGATATCATCTACCTGGACTACGGATATCATCTACCTGGACTTGTGCAAAGTGTCATCTACGTACTTGCTGAAGGTGTACTCAATCCCACTGTTCATCTCACTGACAAAGATGATACTGGTCCCAATATGGACTACTGAAGGACACCACTCGTCACTGATCTCCAACTGGACATTGTGCTGCTGACTGCAACTCTCTGCGTTCCTTATCCACCGAGTGGTCCATCTGTCAAATCCACGTCTCTTCATTTTAGAGACAAGGATGTATTGTGGGACAGTGTATCTTGTGCTCTGCATAAGTCTAGGTAGATGATGTAGATGATGTCAGTTTTTCTATCCATATTCACCAATGCTGCAACCTTGTCATAGAAGGCCATCAAATTTGTCAGGCATGATTTGCCCTTAGTGAAGCCATGTTGGCTGTCACCAATCACCTCTCTGTTCTCGATGTGCCCTAGCATGGTTTCCAGGAGGATCTGCTCCATGATCTTGCCAGACACAGAGTTGACACTGACTGGTCTGTAGTTCCCTGGGTCTTCCTTTTTTACCTTTTTAAAAATGGGGGCTGTGGTTCCCTACATCTGGGTCATGGCAATCCCAGGCACAAATACAGACTGGGCGGAGAATGGATCGTGAGCAGCCCTGAGGAGAAGGACTTGGGAGTACTGGTGGACGAGAAGCTCAATATGAGCCGGCAATGTGCTCTTGCGGCCCAGAAGGCCAGTCGCATCCTGGGCTGCATCAAGAGGAGCGTGGCCAGCAGGTCGAGAGAGGTGATTCTTCCCCTCTACTCGGCCCTCGTGAGACCTCACCTGGAGTACTGCGTCCAGTTCTGGAGCCCCCAACATAAGAAGGACATGGACCAGTTGGAGAGGGTCCAGAGGAGGGCCACGAAGATGATAAGAGGGCTGGAGCACCTTTCCTATGAGGACAGGCTGAAAGAGTTGGGGCTGTTCAGCCTGGAGAAGAGGAGGCTCCGGGGTGACCTTATAACGGTCTTCCAGTACCTCAAGGGGGCCTACAAGAAGGATGGGGAGACGCTGTTCAGGAGGGCCTGTTGTGATAAGACAAGGGGTAATGGTTTTAAAATAGAGGGAGGTAGATTCAGGTTGGATATTAGGAAAAAATTTTTTACAATGAGAGTTGTAGAACACTGGAACAGGTTGCCCAGAGAGGTGGTGGATGCTCCATCCCTGGAGATGTTCATGGCCAGGTTGGACGAGGCCCTGAGCAACCTGATCTAGTTGGAGATATCCCTGTTCCTTGCAGGGAGGTTGGACTAGATGACCTTTGAAGGTCCCTTCCAGCCCTAACCATTCTATGATTCTATGACCTGTGCACCTTCTGGTTCCTTAGATGGTCTTGAACCTTCCTGATCTTTTCCTACAGCGGGTGGGACTTCCTTCTCCCAGTCCCTGCTTTTGCCTTCTGTGACTTGAGCAGTGGGGCTAGGGCACTTGCCAGAGAAGACTGAGGCAAAAGCATTGTTGAGTACCTCAGCCTTCTCCATGGCATTTGCAGCCAGGTCCCCCCTTTTGCTCATCAAGGCAGGTACAGTTTCTTTCATCTTCCTTTGTTTTCCTGTGTACCTGAAGAAACCCTTGTTAATTTTCATGTCCCTAGTGAAGTTCAGCTCCAGCTATGCCTTGAGTTTCCTGATCCTTTCCCTAAGGTCCTCTAGAAGGGACCTCAGGAGGTCTCTAGGACAGGCTCCTGCTCAAAAGAGGCTCTGCTCTGTGGTCAGACCAGGTTGCTCAGGACTTTATCCTGTTGGCTCTTGAAAACCTCCCAGGATGGATACTGTTCAGTATCCATCTTGATACTTGATGTCCACATGGGAAGAAGTTTTTCTTTATATCCAGTCTGAACTTCTCTTGTTCTAATTTATGCCCATTGTCCCATCATGTACCAGTGTAAAAAGCATGTCTCTGTCTTCTCAATAACCTCCTCATAGCTACTAGCATGCTGACACTAGACCCTACTTCTACAGGCTGAACAAGCCCAGTATAGGCTCCTGTGGTACTCTTCTTGCTCCTGGCCTCCAGTACAGTATGATCCATTAACTACAACCTATGTGCTATCATCCGACCTGTTTTTTATGGGGCTGATTTTTTTTGTTTGGTTGGCTTGGTTTTTTTGTGGTTTTGTTTGTTTGTTTTCTTTTCTTTTTTTCACCTATCCGTTTGTCTCCTACAGTATTCTTGCATCCAAGTCAGGACATTATATTCACATATCCAACTCTGGATGAGTGGATGGAGTGAAAAGCCTTGATAAGGTTGAGGTAGGTAACATCCATGCTCTTTCCTTGTCCAGTGACCTAGTGATTTATTATAAAAGACCAATCAGCTTGGTTAGGTATGATTTACCCTTGACAAATTCATGCTATCTGTTCCCAACCATTTTCTTCACGTGCCAGGAAATGGCTTCTAAGAGGACTTGATCCGTGATTTCCCCAGGAATTGAAATAAAGGTCGGCCTGTAGTTGCACAGGTCAAGTTTTTCGCTTTCGTTGAAGATCATGCAACATTTTTCCAGTCTTTGGGGATCTCTCCTAAACTCTACAACCTACTAAAGGTGACAGAAAGTGGCCTTGCAAGGAGATTCACCTGCTCTCTCAGTACCCTTGGAATGCAGTCTTTTACATCTTAGAAACTTGTAAAGAAAATTCTGTGCTCAAAATAGGAAACTTAGGAATGCATTCATCCTCTACAAATACAGGAAATATGGTACATAGGTAATGGAAATTCAGTACAAAATGTTTTTTCTTTGCCTGTCCCAACTATCACAAATTTATTTCATGAGAGATTCTAACTATAAAAGGACAGAAATCTTAAAATAAAATTACTTTATCACGTGTAGTAATAATAATAGCAACAAATATCCCTAAACCATAGTTCGAAAGGTCTTGCTTAAAAGCTCTTGCTGCCACTTTTGTATGTTTCCACATTTGGTAGTTTGACTAAAAGGAAAAAAACCAAACAA